CCAGTAAGAATAGCAAAGAAGGCTTTGAGAGTTGTGAAGTTTTAAAGTTTTACAATTGGCTTTATGGATTGTGCTTAATTGATTTAAGGTCTGTACTCCTAGTTGGCCTACAAAGTTTGTGGCAGACAAGGTGCTAGGAGCTAAATGAAGAGCAAAGAGCTCTGTCTTGCAGGGCTGATCTGTTCCAGTGCAGAGCCAGAGTTACTTTTTCTCAAAGATAGGATTAGAGTTGACTTTTCTAGGAATATCTTTTATAGATGAGTCATTATTATTGGAAATTCTTTGTTTTATGGTTAAACAATCATGGAGGAAATTTTACACCTTAATTAAGAAACTAGAAAATATAAATTAACTCCTTTGGACTTTGAATTAAATTTTCATTGTAAAGATTTTTTTTTTTCTTATTTGGTCTTCTTCCCCTATTACTCGTTATACAACCCCTAATGAAGTTTTCCACTGCATTATTTTCTACTCTTCCCTTTTTCTATGATTTACTAACTACAAAAAACTCAACATGGAAAATGGTGAATTCATCCTGCTTCACACTCTTCCCTTATTATCTGTTAATAACAACATTGTTCTTTAAGACATGAAGAAGCAAGAGTGTAAATCAAAATGATTCCATTCAATTCCCTCACCCAATCAGTCACAGGTTTCTTCGTTCTTCATATCATAGTCAAACTGAGGTTATGGTTTCCCTCCAATGATTTTCCCAGGGAATTAGGGGCAGCTGGGCTGGAAGTGTCTTTCCAAGGCAGAACTCTGATCAGGTTGCTACTTTGTTTAACCAAAATGAGAGGGGCTGAAAACAATTACTCCTAGTGTTACCATTCCACTAACTGTACTTGTTCAAATCAGATGGAAATTAGGAATGGGCAAAGTATAGCTCCCTTAGTGTTGGTAGCTCTTAGTTATTACTAGTGACCTTCCCACTGTTCTGGTAGTCAGCAGCTACCAGAAACTGTCATGAAGCCTTTGTAGCAGCTGGAGTTAACAGGTCTCAGCAGCTCTCTGTTGCTACCCACCCCAACTCCCATGATCTAGTTGATAGATGCCTTTAGTGTTACCAGCCTTGGATGTTGGCCCTTTTTAGCATCAGGAGTCTCCGTTGTTACCAGTTCTTAGTGCAACCAGCTCCGCCTGTGGTACTTGAGGTATAATTCATGAACAGGCAGATGATAACCATCAGAAAGAGAACTAGTGTTGCAACATAGGGGAAGCAATACACAAACTGTTACCATAAGGTTAAAGGGAAAACTGCTTCTGTAGGGAAAAGGCTGACGTGTATGCATTCATTATCCTGTCAAATAACCTCAGACTTTATGTCTCATCTTGAGTAGGGAAAGGGTTACTTGCAGTCCTCTTGAGGACACCTGAGGAGGCTGCAGAGGGAAGGAGTCATCCAAACAAGCTACAGGGTAGAGGTATCTGTGGCCAAATCTTCATTAGCCAAACTAAAGTCTCTAGTAGCTGCAATGTGTTTATGTCAGGTGTAGTTAGTCACAAGCCATGTGAAGAAGAAAAATAAAAACACCTCTTGGGTAACATTGGGTCATCCTTCTTTGTCCCACTGTTAGCACCATTTATTTTTATTTTTATTTATTTATTTTTTTTTGCTGAATAATGGTCAAAAGTATGGATAATCAGTGCGAACTGCAGTACAGTATAATCATGTTTTTCTTATCCAGCCTTCCTTGTTGCCCATTTTCTATACTTACTACATACTCACCAAGTACTGTAAAGGTGTGTAAAGGGTTCTCCACAGCAGCCTCCAGAAGATCCTGGAAATAGTGGGTGTGCCTCAATATACAAGTCAAGAGTTCTGGCTTCAGTTTCATACTGATCTGCCTGACAAATTAAGTTGTTGTTGAAGTTTTTGTTAAGATATTTGAGATTTTCAATTTTCAATTTGAAAGCTCCCTGTGCCATGACATACATTTATGTTAGGCATTTTCAATCCTGATGCCCATTGCTAGCCCATCCCTAAGTGTCCATGAGAACTATTTCCTCTTACAGAAATCTCTTCTTTCACAGAAGCTACCATTAAAAAAAAAAAAGTTGTTTGTTCTTCTGTTTCAGACTCAAATGACATTTTTCCAAGAAGCTGTGTCCCCCCTGCACCCCTTGTAAGCTGTAAATTCTCCCTACTCTGGAAACATTCAATACCCTTTGGCTACGTCCGTCTCTTGTTTTGTGTATTTATATTTGTGTGTCTGTTTTTCCTTTGTGGGGGATCTGGAAACTCCATGAGAGTAAAGACAGGGTCTTCCTTTGTCTTCATAGTCTACCAGTTGAGGGGAATATTTTGAATGTGGTTCAAAATATTAGTTCATTTTGTGCTATTGAAGCAAAAAAACCACAGACTGAGTAATTTGTGTAAACATTAATATATTAGCTCCTATTCCTGAGGCTGGGATGTCCAAGATCAAGGTAAAAATATCTGATGATCCCTCCTTACATAACATGGAAAAAAAGCACCACATGGGGAGGAGATATGAAAGGCAACTAAACTTATCCTTTCTTGGGAACAAACTTCTCTGTTCCCCAAACTCCCCGCCTGCTCTGAGCATTGATCTGCTCATAAGAACAGAGACCACAGAGTCTAATGGCCCCTCATTAGGCCCAACCTCCCACAGGGTTGGATTGGAGGTGAGGTTTCCAACACAAGATTGTGGCAAATATTTTCAAACCATAACACTCATACAGGCCCGAATTATTTGACTGGATACATAATAGAAATGATGTTGAGGCCTTAACATGTATTTTTCAGAAACTCATTTCCTAGAAATATTCCAACCTGTGACACTACACCTTAAGTAATTTGTAAGTAATTATTTCTAGAGAATAAAGAGGGTTTCTATTTGACATTTATGTCTTCAAAAATGTCTTTTCATTTACCTAGAAAAATGTTCCAAAACTGATACATGCATCACTCTTATAGTCTATTCAAAATAAAGACAATGAAAACATTATCTAATGTCAGAGTCAATAGGAAAGTTTTTGAAATGTGTTATATTTTTTCCTATGTAACTTATTCCATATAAAATAGAAATTTACAATATGTTTATTAGACAGTTCAACACTTTCTTTGAGGAATCCATTTCAATATTTAACTGAGTGGGCTAAGACTAGCTTCTCTCCATTCTGCTAGCTGAAGTAGCTCATGTGCTCACCTTGAGCAGACCAGCATATCCTCCCAGTGTTGTATGGAACAGTTCCTCCCTTTTGACATTCTTGTACCATTCTTGTTACTTTACATTCTAATCAATACACACTGGGCAACACTGCAATTACAATTAATCAATGTTTATATTGACAGAGACACAGCAATAATGAGAAACTGCTGATCACTAATAAACATGTTTGGACCACATTTTATAAATAGCTGGCAATAAGAGAGGGCTGGTCATATTGACTAACTCATAAATGACTTACAATCTATTTTCCAGCCTTAACCAGACAAGGGTATCTCAAAAGAAACACTGGAGTAGCTCTATTTCTAGTGAGAAAGCAAAAGTTTTTACATTATTATTGGGTGTGTCATTGAGGTAGTGGTACAGGTGGGCCTTGGGGAATGGACTTAAGAATTTTGTTTTCTCCAACAACAAAATAATGGCATTTCAAATTTGTAATTCCAAGTCATTCTCTACCTCTGATATAACTGTAGTTTCTTTTCTAATAATTAGACCTCACATATTTCTTAGAATTTTAATTTTTTTTAAACTGGTTAACTTTTATTTGTTCTTCTAACTTATTTATTCTTAAAACTACATTATTTTTCAGTGTTTATACTTTGCTTAATTTATTCTCCACCCGCCC